TGGGTCTCTAAACCCAATTTAGTTATAAAAAAATAGCTTAGAAACCCATATGGGTTTTCGGCGTTAAACATGCTCTTATCCATAGTATCAGCAGGGGGTTCTAGTGCTAATTTTAATTAAAAAAAGTTTTAATGGCATTATTAAGCAGATACGGTTCTTATTTTAGAGTCTGCAGAACCCCTCTTGAGCCTCATACATAGCGTTAACTGATTGGTCGCTTGTTTTCTATTTTTTTTTTGTTTTTTTTAATGAGACACTCTGGTTAAATCAGAGTCTTTGTTAGATTATTTTGTGGATTCTATCTTCTCTCCTTCGTCATTTGTCTTGGTGATATCGATGACATGCAAAGGCGATTCCTATCCGAGAGAAGCTCTGGTGGCGAGTCGATGGCGGCGGCAGAATCCGGTGGCGAGTCGATGGCGGCGGCAGAATCCGGTGGCGAGTCGATGGCGACGGCAGAATCCGGTGGCGTGATGGCGGCGGCAACAACTCCTGACTGCAAACTCACCGGCAAAGGTAACAGATCAAATTTTCGGTGAAAGCTGCACAAGCTTCAGCAGAATCCAATCCTGTTTATCGACCACCAGCTTCAGATTCTGGTAAAAGCTGCACAAGCTCCAGGTTTAAGGAGAGTGACTTCTCACCACCATAGAACTTCACACCGATTAATATTGTATTTGAAAAATTACAATTAAAAAAAAAATTTAGAGTCTCCCTTAAGACCTTACCATTGGACACTAAAAACATGAAAAAATCTAAAAGAGGTTCTAGTGTATTAAAATGAACAAAAAACTATTAACAAATCAGATTAGAATCCCTCATTAGAGACTATGGTTGGAGATGGTCTTAGAGTCTAGCACCAAATGATAAAGTTTATTCGATTGCATTATACAGTATATTATAGCGTGGCTTTCGTTTGGCGCACACCATTAGTGTTTCATTTGGAAAGCTTACCGAACAAGAAACATCATAGTATTTGTGTTGAGTGGGTTGGTGAGTACATCTTAGAGGGAGAAGAACAATAGGAGACACGGGGAAAGACGCCTTTGACGATACTCCGACTCACCAAGATAATAGACAACAACATAAGGAACCAATTATGTTCTATTCGCAGCAGCGGCGACATGAGATACGAAGACAGATTGAAGACTTGATTTGCCACAAGATAAACACCCAGCTTGAGTTTTTTTGCTTAAAATAAAAAACAATCAATCAAAGTTGTAAAATGTTTATTTTCTTCTTGAATATAATTTAACATTAGATTAAAAAAAAATTAGTGTTTCATTTGCCGAAATCTAGCTAAGAGTCATTTAATTAATGTTTTACGAATAATGATGACTCTAACAACTTGTTTAATCAGTTTTGTTGAGCATTAACTAGTCAGTTTAATGTATTCATTGATTCAATTATTGATCTGCAATCTCGCCATTTGGTGCCCATCTTCTTTTCATCAGATATATCAAATTGTATGCCAAATGTGATCACCATATATCGAAACTTGAGTTGTTGTTGTTGTTGTCTTTTTGTCCAAATAAAACATAACAAAGAATTAAAACTAAAGAATTAAAAATAAATCCTATTATTAAAAATAATAGGATTTTCTTGGTGGTTCGAGACTTCCTCGGGGTAGTGGACAGAGTCTGCAAAGAAGTAGGGATGATAAACGAAAGAACAATGGTTAGTTCTGCTCATAAGTTTCCAGTTCCGGTGAATCTGATGCTGCCACAACCTCTTCCTGGACTCTGTGGAAGAAAGCAATCTTCGTCTTCTTCTTCTTCCTCTTCATCATCAGACGACGAACATATCTCATCTCACTAGTTTCTTAAAAGTGGGATCAGCTTTTGTCTGTGCAAGTTGTAAAAAGTATCCAGTTTGTTTTGTCATAATAGTTTAACATATATAGAGGGAGGAGGTCATGAGTGAAACAGAGACAAAGAAGTATTTATTTTCCTACATTTGTGTAAAATAATATAGGTTTACATTTAAATATTTTAAGAATAAAAGAAAAGAAAATATTACTCAAGTATCCTCCAAATCTATGTTTATTAATAGTTTGACACATTTTTATTTTTTATACTAGACTAACCTCGTATACTGATCCTATCATTTTGGACTTTGTTGAGAAAAATATTATTATGAAAATGCCATTACTTTTTATATGCCATATAAGCAAAAAGTAGCACGACATTAAACATAAGTCTACCACTATTTGTAGTAGATTTGTACAAATTTGGTCAACGTAAATTTTTGTTGGTAGATTTATTTGAGAGATGCTAGATTTGTTGAAACTTAGTAAACTTGTTTTGGTAGACATATTTTTATAGCACAGTAGACATATTTTTATAGCATGGTAGACATATTTTTATAGCATTGTAGACTTATTTTTTGTTGGTAGACATATTCATTGTTGGTAGATTTATTATTTTTAATAATAGACTTATAAATATTCCATTGACTTATGATAGTTAGATATACCATTGGACATACAAAAAATATGAGTCTTTTATCTGGATCTCTAAATCTAATTTAGTATTAAAAAAATAGCTTAGAAACTCATTTGGGTTTTCAGCGTTGAACATACTCTTAAAGTCTAGCACCAAATGATACAGTTTCTTCGATTGCATTATACAGTATATTATAGCGTGGCTTTCGTTTGGTGCACACCATTAGTGTTTCATTTGGAAAGCTTACCGAACAAGAAACATCATAGTATTTGTGTTGAGTGGGTTGGTGAGTACGTCTTAGAGGGAGAAGAACAATAGAAGACACGGGGAGACGCCTTTGACGATACTCCGACTCACCAAGATAATAGACAACAACATAAGGAACCAATTATGTTCTATTCGCAGCAGCGGCGACATGAGATACGAAGATGGATTGAAGACTTGATTTGCCACAAGATAAACACCCAGCTTGAGTTTTTTTGCTTAAAATAAAAAACAATCAATCAAAGTTGTAAAATATTTATTTTTTTCTTGAATATAATTTAACATAAGATTAAAAAAAATTAGTGTTTCATTTGCAGAAATCTAGCTAAGAGTCAATTAATAAATGTTTTACGAATAATGATGACTCTAACAACTTGTTTAATCAGTTTTGTTGAGCATTAACTAGGCAGTTTAATGTGTTCATTGATTCAATTACCGATCTGCAATCTTGCCATTTGGTGCCCATCTTCTTTTCATCAGATATATCAAATTGTATGCCAAATGTGATCACCATATATGGAAACTTGAGTTGTTGTTGTTGTCGTCTTTTTGTCCAAAGAAAACGTAACAAAGAATTAAAACTAAATTTTAAAAAGTGCAATATATATATATATATATATTTTGATATATAAAAAATTAAATTTACATATTTTCAATTATATGAACTAAGTTTCTATTAATGAAATGGTACATATAATAAAGGATATTGACCTGAAAGAATTATAATAATGAATACGGATGACATATGATTTCGAGTCACATTTATGTTTAAGGCTCTTAAAAGTTTTTTTTTTTAAAAAGTTCTTAAATCATTTCTAAAACATCTAAGAGATAAGAGATAAGGATCATAGGGTAATAATACAGTAAAACCTCTATAAATTAATAATGTTGGAACCATAATATTTTATTCATTTATTGTGATAGTAATTTATCTATAAATTAATAATTAAAATTTATTTTCAGTTTATAATTTTTTAAAAATTTCTTTAGAATGATGTTATATTTTAAAATTTTAACAAATTTTGTAATGTAAATTATGTTTAACAATCATAACTATCGCAATAAAATAGTTTTTAATACCATATTGGATTATCCATGTAAATAATATATATGTTCATAAATTTAAAATTTATAAAAAGATTATGGCTACTATCCGTATTATTGATGATAAAATTGAAGATAACACTACCATACCTTTAAAAATATTTACATATAAGAAAATCAATTATCACATTAAAGATTATCATAAATTTTAAATGTATATCGTAAAACATCAATAAAAGCTATTGATATAATAATTAAAGAAATAAGATCCAATGAGATTTCAACCTTAAGTAAAAGTAAACACATTAGTCATATTTTAGAATACTATATTTACATATATTTGTATAAATGTATATAATTATTAATTTATGTTTTTGTTGGGACCATATATTTACATAGGAATTTCAAAAAAATTATTATCTTATTATATTATCAAATTTGATGAATTTTTACATTAGCCCGATTTGAGATCAGCAATATTTATTAATTTATAGTAATTATAAATTTATTGAGTATTAATTTATAGAAGTTTTACTATAATTTAAAAAAATTTGTTATTTACGTCAATAGTTTAGAAAACTTCTCTAAATATATTCAGTGTTATTTACAATTTTGGCTGAATTTATTTAGGATACATTCGCGATGAAAGTTATAATTTTTCTATTTCACAAAAAATATTGTTTTAACACTTTTCACACAAAGAAATAAAACTATAATATTTTGATTATATTTTAAAAATACAAGTGATTCTCAAATTATTATTTTTGGTTCCCGTATACAAAACTTTGGGAAAAACATGAACCGACCATTTAGAGCAGTGTCGGTAAAAGAATTAAAAAAAGGAAAAAAATATCCGCACAACACACCCACTTCCTCAAACAGTAACACACCATTATTTTATACTCAAATCGATACTTCTTTATTACATCCTCTCTCGATAATTTGTCAATCCGCCGTAAGAAATAATTATTTTATTTTTGAAAAAGAAAGTGTAAATAACAAAAACATAACTCGCATTTTTAAATATTCGACAATGTGCGTACGTTGCAATGCAGTGCAGTGTGTACACTTTCGCGGTCGCAAACTAGGACTATTGCAAAGTCCACGTCTTATACACGTGTCATATTATCATTAGTCATGGTCAGAACAGCGGGCCCTACTACGTATAAGAGAATAATTAACCACTCTTCTTTCCATCAGCTCTTTTGGCCTCTGTGCTCTTCGCTCTTTACTCTCTCACCATCACTAAAGTTGAAGTTAAAAAAAAAAACGAACCAAATACAAAAAAAAAGAGAGTGAAGAAGATCGAACGACCATTACCAGCAGAATCTTAGCTGGATCCATCACTCTCCAAAATATTTTCTCATCTTGTCTCGAGAAAATCCAGAAAGGAAGAAAGAGAGTGAGAAAGAGAGAGAGTCCCTACAGAGACACTCAGATCTCGCCTCTTTTCAAGAAGAAGAAGAACAACAACACAATGCTCTTCTTCTTATTTTTCTTCTTCTCATCCTTAGATCTCATTCTCGCCGACCGTCGAGTCCTCCACGAGCCATTCTTCCCCGTCGATTCTCCGCCACCGTCACCTCCACAATCTCCGCCGCTTCCTAAGCTTCCTTTCTCCTCAACAGCTCCTCCTTCAGACGCTACATCACCTCCTTTCTTCCCATTATACCCTTCATCTCCTCCGCCTCCTTCTCCGGCGTCTTTCGCTTCCTTCCCGGCCAACATCTCCTCTCTAATCGTCCCTCACGCCACTAAATCGCCGCCTAATTCCAAAAAGCTCCTCATCGTCGCAATCTCCGCCGTGACCTCTGCCGCTTTAGTCGCCGCGCTTATCGCGTTGCTCTATTGGCGTAGAAGAAGAAGAAGCCAGGATAGTAACTTACCTGATGATAGCAAGACGTGGACGACCGACAGTAGCCGCCGAGTTTATCCTCCGCCTCCATCTGCGGCGCCGCCGGTACGGCGTAATGCGGAGGGTAGGAATAGTAAGCAGAGGACGACGACGACGAGCTCTGCCAACACTAGCTCAGAGTTTCTTTATTTGGGAACGATGGTGAATCCGAGAGGAATCGAGGATCAATCCGCGAGTAATCGGAGCAATAATGGTTCGAGCTCGAGGAAATTGGAATCTCCAGATCTCCAGCCTCTTCCTCCTCTCCTGAAACGAAGTTTCCGGCTAAATCCAGAGGTTGGTTCAATAGGAGAGGAGGAAGAAGAAGAGTTTTACTCTCCCAGAGGCTCAGCGAGCGGGCGCGAGACGTTGACCCGGGTCGGATCCGAGTCCCGGAGGGTATTCGCGGCGGTTCCGAATCAAAACCCTAGATCTGTGACCAATGACACTATCTCCTGCTCGTCGTCAAGCTCAGGTTCACCGGGAAGATCAACGTTCATCAGCATTTCTCCGTCGATGAGTCCGAAGAGATCCGAAGCGAAACCTACGGTAATCTCCGCGCCAGAGCCGCCGTTGAGGACTTCGCCGGGAAGCTCAGAGTTACCAGATTTTCGATTCGTGAGGTCTCCATCACTGTCCTTAGCTTCTCTATCGCCGGGACTTTGCCCGGTGAAAAACGCCGATGGAGGACTTGGTCAAATCTCGAGATCTCCGACGGTCACATCTCTCACTACTTCTTCACCAGACAGATCAATGGATAACAAAAAGGAAAATCTCGAGGACTCTCCTCAAAGTACACGTTCTACGACGGTGTCATCATCTTCAACTTCTCCAGAAAGACGACCAAACGAGACACCGGAAGCTTACTTGCGATCACCTTCGCATTCTTCTGCTTCTACATCGCCGTATCGATGCTTCCAGAAATCTCCCGAGGTATTACCGGCGTTCATGAGTAATCTCAGGCAAGGATTGCAATCTCAATTACTCTCTTCTCCGGGACAAGGTTTCCTTAAGGAGTTAGATGCATTGCGTTCTCGTTCACCGTCGTCGTCTGTTTGTTCTTCACCGGATAAAGCTTCTCACAAGTCACCGGTCACATCTCCCCGGAATTCGGCGTCGTCGTCGTCTCTGTCATCTTCTCCAGACAGAGATTTTAGTCAGAGCTTAGATGTATCTCCACGGATCTCGAACATTTCATCTCAAATCCTACAGCCTCCTCCGTCTGCAATAACCGGAGCTTCTCGAGTGCCACCACCGCCTCCGCCACCTCCTCCACCATTTACATCATGGGCACGACGGAATCAGGTGACTCGACCGCCTTCTCTCACGCAGCCTTCACATCCTTTTGTGATCCCATCTGAAAACCTGCCAGTGACTACTCCAAAGGAGACTCCTCCAGAGACGCTCTGTGCCGGTGACCTGGCAGAGGAGACTCCGAAACCGAAGCTAAAGGCGTTACATTGGGATAAAGTCAGAGCAAGTTCGGATCGTGAGATGGTCTGGGATCATCTTCGATCAAGCTCTTTCAAGTGAGTTAATAATGGCATAGTTTCTTTTACACAAATCTGCTTTCTTGAGAACGTTGGTTATTGAATATTATTGATGCGCCTTGCAGATTAGATGAAGAGATGATTGAAACTTTGTTTGTAGCAAAGACATTAGACTCCAAACCAAATCAGAGTCAGACAACTCCAAGATGTGTTCTCCCTAACCCAAATCAAGAGAACAGAGTCTTGGACCCAAAGAAGGCTCAGAATATTGCGATCCTGCTTCGTGCACTTAATGTCACTATAGAAGAAGTTTGTGAAGCTCTTCTTGAAGGTAAACTATCTTGTATGAGTACTTGAAGAATCATTATGGTGGTTTTTGATGTCTTGAATGATTGGTGGACCCGAGATTATTGGTGTTATATTCTTGTTTTTTTTGTTATGCTTTTTAGGAAATGCTGATACACTTGGGACTGAACTTCTTGAGAGCTTACTTAAGATGGCGCCGACAAAAGAGGAAGAGCGCAAGTTAAAAGCGTACAAGGATGATTCTCCCGTTAAGCTTGGACATGCTGAGAAGTTCCTCAAGGCAATGCTAGACATCCCTTTTGCCTTTAAAAGAGTCGACGCAATGCTCTATGTAGCTAACTTTGAGTCTGAGGTTGAATACCTGAAGAAATCTTTCGAGACTCTTGAGGTACTTATAGCAAAGCTATTTTCTCTCTTCTTAGTTCTTATCATAGTGTTTGATCTTGACTTTATTCCCAATTTTTCGACTAGGCTGCTTGTGAGGAACTGAGGAACAGCAGGATGTTCTTAAAGCTACTAGAAGCGGTACTAAAGACAGGGAACCGTATGAACGTTGGGACAAACCGAGGCGATGCACATGCGTTCAAGCTCGACACGCTTCTCAAGCTGGTCGATGTTAAAGGCGCTGATGGGAAAACAACTCTCTTGCATTTCGTCGTACAAGAGATAATCCGAGCAGAAGGCACGCGTCTCTCAGGTAACAATACCCAAACAGATGACATCAAGTGTAGGAAACTCGGCCTCCAAGTTGTATCAAGCCTATGTTCAGAGCTTAGTAACGTCAAGAAAGCTGCTGCAATGGACTCGGAAGTACTAAGCAGCTACGTCTCCAAGCTTTCTCAAGGCATTGCCAAGATCAACGAAGTTATCCAAATCCAAGAGGAAAACAGCAGCATTCAGAGGTTTTCAGAGTCCATGAACACGTTTCTGAAAAGAGCTGAGGAAGATATTATCAGAGTACAAGCTCAAGAGAGCGTAGCGTTATCTCTTGTGAAAGAGATCACAGAGTATTTTCATGGAAACTCGGCTAAAGAAGAAGCGCACCCGTTTAGGATATTCTTGGTGGTTCGCGACTTTCTCGGGGTAGTGGACAGAGTCTGCAAAGAAGTAGGGATGATAAACGAAAGAACAATGGTTAGTTCTGCTCATAAGTTTCCAGTTCCGGTGAATCCTATGCTGCCACAACCTCTTCCTGGACTCTGTGGAAGAAAGCAATCTTCTTCTTCTTCGTCTTCTTTTTCCTCTTCATCATCAGACGACGAACATAACTCATCTCACTAGTTTCTTAAAAGTGGGATCAGCTTTTGTATGTGCAAGTTGTAAAAAGTATCCAGTTTGTTTTGTCATAATAGTTTGACATATATAGAGGGAGGAAGTCAGGAGTGAATCAGAGACAAAGAAGTATTTATTTTTCTACATTTGTGTAAAATAATATAGGTTTACATTTAAATATCATAAGAATAAAAGAAAATCCATTGCCGTTTTTTCAAGAAAAGTTCAATATTATGTTTTGAGAATGTCGCAAAATTCAATTAGAAAGGAACTTAAAATCGGGGAATGCTTTCTTATTCACAAACGTTAAGTTGTATGAAGTATACAGATGTGTTAGTCTTATGAAAAGCGTGTCAAGCTATATCCATTTATTCACACATATCTATAACAACTAATATTTATCCCAACTTAGACAACAACACCTCAAACTATGGTCGACAAGAACTTTAATAAGTCTCTCAGTTACTGATTCTTGGTGCGAACATGAAAGATTTAAATGGTACCATCACATACTACATCACAAATACTGTGGTAATTTCTTTCGATATTATTAGTCCTCTAATGGAAAGCTGGATTGGTGACGATGTAAATGGCAACTTGGCTATCACAATAAACCAAAGTAACAACCAAAACACCAAGGTCAGCCAGAATAATCCCTTATCGTTTAGAGGAGACAATGCTAATGCTATCTGTTACTTAACACTCAAATTGGTAAGGTTTCACTCTTTTATCGTTTGTAAAGACTGCCCCAAAGTAGACGGCAATGCGTACTAAATTGAAGGTTGTTCCATCTTTTTTTCGGGAATAACAGAGTAGAATTTGCGATGATATCACCACACCAACGGTAGTTTCTGTGTAGTTCAATGCACAGAATCAGAAGGATACAAAGAGTTATTTGTGTTTATACATATGTGGTGAAGATTGTGTGGTCTATGGAAAAATTGATTCTAGAAAAATTAAAAGAGAAAACTGCAGCATATACTAGCTATTAATAAGGTACTTTTGTTATCTTCATTCTCATAAATTTTGTTTGTTGCATTTTTAAAAATTTGTGTAAAGAGAAAAATAGAAGAAGTAAAGGGCAAAGAGAGAGTAAAAACTTACAGATAATAAACCAAGGAGATGGCTAACAAAAAGAATGAGAGAGCGAAGGATATTACTCTCTCCTCTAGGATGTACAAGAAGTTTTTTGTATAGGTTTTGATTTTTAAAAGAAACAAATAATTCAAGAATTTAAGTTTTTATAATTATAATTAGAGTAAACGAAAAGTGTTTTACATTAAAAAAAAATCAAGTAAAAGAGAGTAAAAAAACTATTATGAGAAGTTTACAAAAAGATTGAATAAACAGAAACACTCAGAAAAGAGAAGAAAAAGTTATAACAAATCACATTACTCTAAATAGTAAAAATATTTTGTCACTTATCGAATGACCAATCCTCTATCTCGAATTAGGTTGTATTTGTTAAAGTATATTTCCTACCAATCAAAAAATAACTCCTAAACACTAAATATATATGAAATTTATCTTATTATATTAAACACAACTTAAAAAATTTAAATAATATACAAACCTGCGTGTACACGAGGTCTTCATCTAGTATAACTGAAAGTCACTATCAGACCGCTAAAGAATATTTTGGCTAGGAAATCCTTTGATAAACCTACAACACATAGTTCTGCAACCCAAATTCAGGTTGCGTTATGAAAAGATAAACCAACCATCCCGCAATTCTTCTACGTATATTGATGAGGATCTGAAATGAAGGACAATCATACAAAACTAGCTTATGATTTTGTTCAGTTGGACTCAAATTGTTAAAGTGAGATTGGTTTTGTTTGTGTAAGTTATTGTCAAAATTATATAGTAATAAATTTTTTTGTTACAAATAAATTAATTTATATTAAAAATAATTAAAAAGAAAAGTTCATTTGTCTCCGATAAAGATGAAACACTCTATTTGGCAATTTTTATCACGGTGCGTTGTTACCTGTCAAATCTTCACCTATCGACACATGGGCTCTGACAAGCGATGCTCCCAGTGTGGGGATCCTGAGGAGTCTATAAATCTCATATTGTTTTATGTCTCCCGGCCTTACAAGTCTGGGTGTTATCAGACTTTTCGTCCTTTCCGCGCCTCTTTCTGAGTACCTCAATTTATCAAAATATGAGCTTTCTCTTTTGGAAAATTAAAGAGCTAGGCATGACAAATCCTCAAAAAGATGTATATCCTTGGATCCTATGGTTTATTTGGAAAGCAAAAAAAGACAAAATTTTCAACGGAAAAGAAATTTCCCCTGAAGATACCTTGCTCCATGCAAAGGTGGAAGCAGAAAGTTGGAGGATTACGAACTAACCCGAAAACGATGATGTCACAGAAGATGGAATGATGGCCTCCCCTCTTCCTCTGATATCTATTCCCGAAGACCACCGTTTTTCCGAGAGACCGGATTGATGCTTCTCGAACCATTTCCTTGATTAACCACATGTGATGTAATAGTTGGGTAGAGAAAAAAAAATTCATTTGTTTAGAAAGAGAGGGAACAATAAATTGATAATATTTTTTATGATAAAGGTGGTAGATTTCAAAACTTCCTCAATACTCTTTGCTTATATGAGTCGAGAATGAAGTAAAACTTTAAATATTTTATCAAAGAAATTTTATGATTTTGATCTATTATATTGAGTTTTCTTTATTCCGTCTAAATTGTTTATAGAAAACTTATATATCTCATTCATGATATGATGTATTCAATAAAATAGATGTTAAACTAATAATAAAGAAAAGAGAGTGGGTTTTTCAAAATTGTAAAAAAATTAAAAATGTAGTTTTAAGTATTTGAAAAAGAATAAAAACAGTTGATATATACACATTTAAAAAAAAGATTGATCTAATTAATAAAAATTATAAGGAATTTAAAATTTATTTAATTATCTTCAGCCCAAACATTAAGCAGAACCTTAATTACATATAATAGTTTTTTTTACTTTTATTTGTTTTATGTCTATTAGTTTTTATAACGAAAGCCCAACAGATCAGAGCAAATTACAACGCAAATCAAAGATCCAAAATAAAATATAAAATAAACCCAATACAGACCCATTAACCATCAAACATGTGTTGCAACACATGTAATACTTTACACAACTCCAAGACACATGTGAGGCTAAGGAAGATTGCATTGTTTTGTTTAATATCCATCATGGACAAGTTTCACCGACGCTGCAGCCACCACCGACAAATTTATCCATCAGCTAAGTGGACCTCCTTGTAGCCACTCAAAATTGATGCTCCATTCCCTTTTACTTACTCCTCTTTGTAGACCGTGTGCATATTCTTAGTCAGAAAATTCCCTTCTCCATAAATTATGTCGCTGCTAATCATCTTTAACTCAAGAAAAATTCCTCATCACCTTGAACAAGGCTTTTAATAAAGGATCTAGGGAGATCTGAAACTTCCAGTCAAGAGAGGATGATTCCAAATATCTAAGAAGAAAAATCCTAACACATACTTTCGGATCCAATTATCGCCAGGATCCATATGCGAGAGAGAGAAGGCTTCAAACATCTTATAGATTGAATCCTTTGTTTAATCACAGAAAAACAATGATTTTCTAACGAATTGAAATCTTTCACTCCACTAAGGATTAGTGAAGAATTTAAGTATAGAAAATCAACAAATTGAACTAGCAAAAAGATTTCGACAAACAGAAGAGAGAAAATCCAAACTGGTTGGAATTTATTATCCGTTAAACGTAAGAAAACTCCGATGTTAATCGGATTATTTACAGAAGAGATAAAAGACTCTCTCTCTCTCAAAGATAGAGTTGAGAGAAGAGAGAGAAAAAACCTCTCCTTAATTTTATTTTTGTCTAATTATATTTTATTTTATATGATGTGAAATATTCATTTTAATAATTATATGCAAAAAAGAAAAAATAAACAAATTAATGCCAAATTAATGACTCATGAAAAATAACAAATCTCATATGACTTAGAATTTTAGCATTCAAAAGGTAAATAACACATCAGGAATGTCTGGCAAGTGAATCACACAGTACAATATGGATAAAATGTGGTTGGTGCGAGAGAAATAGGATAAGTGAAACAAAAATGCATAGCAAAAAGAAAAAAAAATGAAATCTTGATTTGAATAAATATGATGCAGGTCACACAGTATGATAACAAACAAATATCTTTTTTCCTAGTCTTCAAAAATTGAAATACTAGGAACATCTTTGAGTCCGAAGTAAAATAACAAAAATTATCAAAACAAATTCTTTAGATAAATTGTGTTATGCATAAAATCAATAGAAAATGGATTTAGTGACAGTATCCACTAACCAAATTAGGTAAATAATAAAATCTTATATTATATAGAAAATTGATGGTAAAAATCCAAGAACTGTATTGGAGACTTATACTATACATTTCACTATCAAACTATAACAATCAAAATTTTTTTTTTGTTGTTTCTGACAGCTATTTTCAGTATTTTTATTTTACCATTATCCAGATGGTTCATAAATCCAGGTAGAACACCATTAATAAATCATCACTCAAACAATTAATTTGTTTTGTTGCATATGTAGTTTAATTATAATAATAACAATTAAAGTTAAAATCTCCATGCATGATCTCAAGAAGGCCATCGGAGTTTACCTGCTGCTCCGATGCAGCTTGGATTGCACACACAAAGGAGGCTGGTCTTGAGTGGATTATTTCTGGCACTGGAACAACTGTGGCAGAACGTGGAGTTAGGATACCAAATGTTGGCTCTGCTTTGGTAGCAGAAACTCTGGCGCTCCGTTCAGCTGTCTTGCATCGGCGGCTTTTAAAATCGACTCTATATGCATCCGGTCAGATTCTCAAACGCTGATTTCATCAATCAACTTGGGATATTCTCCGATCTCAATTCACGGAATTTTGGCCGATATTCACATCTGTTCCTCTCTGTTTGCAAATATTTCTTTTGTTTCATTCCAAGGAAGGATAATGCAATTGCTGATGCACTTGCCAAAAGTACCCTTCATGGGCCGAATTTGTATTCCACAACAGACTAAGGCCTTTCTATCTAATGAAAGTTTGATAAAAAAAAGGTTAAAATCTATACGAAATCAAATTTATGAAAAAATTTATTGATCTAACTTCATAATAAATCTCTTTATAAAAATAAAAACATGTAAATTATCTTTTTACACAT